ATTCAATTCAAAACTCTATACCCAATTTATGTTTAAAAGCAGAAATTATATGATATTCATTATTGTACACAGAAATATTTAAAAATCGTGAAAACAAAGTATATTAAAAAAGAATAACTTAAATAAAACCAAGTAGGTCACTCATAGTCAGGTACAAACAGAATTTAACGAAATTAAAAGAAAAGGAAAAGGAAAAGGGTTTGCGCGCAAAAAGCCAAATTATTATAATGGCTTCCGTTCTCTGAAAGATACTTATTATAAAGGCCTCGTGAGAGTTATTATACATATTCTACAAGCCATGGTTAATATTGAATCAAGTTCTGGTTATATTTTACCACCATTCGGACATCGTATTATTCACTTTGGCATACTCAAAGTCTTTGGTTGGTTCCACTGCAAGTGCACTCATATTTTCAAACGTTCCTTAAGATTCCATATATAGAGGGAAAAGTTACTAATTCAGATGGACTATGTACAAAGTAATCAGAAAATGGATTGTTTGACTGAAAAGGCGATAGAGGTAAGAAATTAACAAGCTTGTTATTGAATCAATCAGTAGATACAGAAATTGCCATAACACATTTCAAGGAGCTACACAACCACGTAGCAAGAGAATGATTTTGTTTCCTTCGTCCGTTGAAAGATGGCGCTGTTGCAAGTCCTTGCCCTGCCAGAGGAAATGCTACTCGGCTCATAACTATAACTGTATACATACAAATGTTATATTTTCATTTGCAACGGGAAATAGTCATACAACGATACTTTCTCTACAAAACAATAAACATTGATATGAAAATCCCTGAACATTACCACAGTAAGTTCTTTTTCTCTCTTCTCTCTCTCTCTCTCTCCATATAATATTCACGAAGCTCACAATGGTTTACAGTGAAGGCTTAAAAGAGATTGATGATAACACAATGGACTGGCTTTCAAGCAGCCTTATCCGTATGGCTGATCTTGACAGAAGTTGGCAACCACACAAATGAACGTTCATTATTAAAGCCAAAGGGAGGTAAAATACGAAAAAAAAATAAGGCAACTACGAACGTAATCGGTGATTACAATTAAAGGCAAACTGTCCTACTTGTAGCTACTTGCTCCCTCTATATAGAAAACTTCCCCAATCGGTGCCTGTTGGTCCCCCATGATCCTCTTTTTCTTATGTTAAATGAGAGCTGAGTTAATGAGATAGCCACCTGTCACAGTGACCTCGCTGGCTCGCTGTGCGGTCTAATCCCTTCTGGCTGAAGTAGTAAAGCCTCCCTTTAAGAAATGTAATTTTGATATACAAATAAGTAGGCCTACTCCCCCCCCCCCCCCCAAAAAAAAAAAAAAAAAAAAACGAATGACATTTATATAGCCCAATATCAAGACAAAACAGCGTAAGCCCTTTCAATTCTTACACTCATATCAATACAAGACTCATATTAGCCTGATTAGATTTCTAATCTATGGAGTTTCTTAAAGGTTAACATTAGGTATACCCGATGAAACGTTGTATCACTTTTCCTGAGAAAAGGTGAAAACATAATTTTGAACAAAGTTGGTTCCATTATTTTATAATTTTTAGAGTTTGTTTTGTATTATTTTGTATTTGTTTTTATAATCTTTCAAAAAGACTTAGACCAAAAAAGAAAAGAAAAAAAAAGGCAGGTATTTACATACGTCATTGTATCTGATATTTATCCTGGCATCCCAAACACTTTTTAAAGCGACTTCGTAAAAACCAATATAACGTTATATAGTACCTTTCAAACTGGAAGGAATCCCACATATGAAAAGTTCAGTCGCAATTATAGGTTTTACAAAATCAATGAATACATTTCAATATATAATACAAAACTCACACTTTAAAGATGATGAAGAAGATAGCATAAATGATGTCCCGTCAACGTGTAGATTCACTCTATCTATCACTCTTGCATTTTCCCCTTGTTAATCAATGCAATACATATTTTGTACGTCTAATGAAATGCATATATGAAGTTTCTATTAATTCCTCACTTTTACACACCGTTTTTCGATGGCTATCTGATTGGTGTTTACCACGAATGACGTCACTCACCACATAGATATCACGAAAATGACAGATATTCAGAAATTGGACCAATTTGTGGTTTTTCTTAATGTTCTAGTCAGAAATAATTTGATATATTGGCTCGGACTTTGAATGACTAGTAATGCGAGTGTGTGAATTAAATAATACCATTTGTAATCTGCATAGTGATAATACAGGTGTGTTTTAATTTCTTTTCTTGGCAAATAAAGAAACCTTGGTTAGATCATGACCTTTACATCTTCTTCAAATACTTCTTTATTTTTATGATAATTAAATATTAATGACACAAAATATGAATAGAAATTTATGCACTCAGTATATTCGTAAAGTCTCATTGATATCTTTGTAATATGATAAATGTATAGAAATCGTTAAAGAAATTACCTATAGAAACTTGGCGGACGATAATTCTTAATTCGAGGTATTATACTTTGAATCATAAAAATAAGTGCAGTTCTTAATTTGTTTACATACAAAAATTGCTTGGAAATGAGCTAATGACTCATATGCTTCCCGAAATCGAGGAGTCTTGAGTAAAGTTCGCTGAATTACACTATATACGACGACCTGTAATTTTAGTTGGGAAGGCTGCTTGTATTTCAATCTATTTTTAAACCTTGAATTCGACATTCCCTCCTGCGTTACATTTCCTGCACTTTGGTTCACGCCAGATTCCTACAGCCGAATTTATTATATATTCACTGGATACCTATTAAATGGCGTATCGATAGCCAACACCTGATACCTTGAATGAAATTTTATGTCCCGAATTTAGAAGTTATCTTATTTCAGACTATTTTAGGAAGCACTTATTGCTACTTAATCATTTCAGCATTTAGTTGAGGAGAAATGAAGCCTTCTATAGATTGAGAGGTCACTAATGTGGGTCAATAAATCTCTTGTCCCCCCTACATATACAAATTTTGATTTCCACCAGATCAAAAGAAGATACATTATGAAGTACATGTAATACCAGTAATTCATATTTTTAACGTACTGTATATGATAGGAATCTTTCAGGTATCTTTCAGGCAGGGGAAATGCTTTAAAAGATTGTCGTAAAAGAAGGTGTATACATGTACGAAAATACAGACCTACTCCCTGATACGACCATTCAACGAAATTTCCTTAATTAGATAAAAATGCAATTAATTTTCGTACAAATTAAAGTTTACGAAAACCAAGCATTATTCGATAAGTGCTTTACTAATTTAGTTGCTAATTTACTCTGCAAATCATAAACAATGCTATGGAATCATACAAATCTTGGCACTTTTCTTCATAACTTAAAATTGGCAGCTTTGATTTGTTTTCATATTATCGCTTTCGATGAGCCAATCTCTGTATAAGACTTAGTTGTAGGAATTAAAGTAATCCAATTTAATTGGCAATTAATGTACTAACTTTATGGAACTGAATTGATCTTTAAAGAATTCCCCTATTAATTTGTTAGTATGTAAAGCCTCTTACATAGTTATGTATGTCTACCATGTACAGTATATTTGTGTATGTGATATTGATGTATATATTGCTACTTAATCATGGAAGAAGGAATGTACTTTTTAAAATCCTCGGCAAGAAATATGTGATACTGTCGCATGCGAGCGGAAGTATCTCCACAGAATCCTGAACTTTATCAGAGTCATCTAAATTAGTCACCACGGCAACGGAAAGAGGCAACGCGATACCCGGTCCATTTGTGTATTATTGTTTTGTATAGCACCTTGAGAAAGTAATATGATAAGTGCGCTTTATGTATTTAATATTATTATTGTTATTATTATTATTATTGATCAGAAACTGATTACAACCGTAAAACTATGAGTACCCACTGCTTTCTCACAACCAATTGGTTAGAGAAGGGGTTCCCTGTTATGAAAGGTCATGAAAAACAGTGATATCTTTGAAACCAGCTGTGAAATCGTTGTAATGGAACGGAATTTCAATAAACCAAATATGGCTACACATAGACAATGATTGACTCAGAGGTGCCTTGGAATAATATTTATAATCATTGTCAAGCTCTTAAAAGCTATTTCAAGCATTGGTCAAGGCCATGGATGAAAATGAATGAATGACGAAAATGTGTTCTTGTCCGTCTGAATAGTCTTTGGCAAAAAAGATATTCCTTCATATTTCAATTAAAGGCAAAGGGGAACTTGTTATAGACATAAAAATACACGACATAGTCTATTTTCATTTTAAATACACTATTTCATTAGAAGAGTCCCTTTGTTTTGTAAATTTCAGATTTTTCAAAATTAATTACCCCTATCTGTGAAATGAATTGAGTTGAAATTGCTTGGGTAACCACGGGTTGCGGGTTGGATTACACATCATACTTCCACATTTCAAATAATACAAATCAAGTAAGAGATAATAGTTTTTGTTATTATTTAATTCAGGTAACACTAAACTCAAAAATCTGTTACTATTGTTTTTGCTTAAAATAATAGTGTCCTTTCTAGACATAAATCGAGTAGCCAGTACTAATGTGTGAGATGCCGACAACGTAAAGAGACTACCTAATACAAAAGGTATGTTTATACTTACATACCCCCCAAAACCTACCTAAGATAAACTACACAGCTTACACGATAATTACTAGGACCATCCTGGCTTCACTGTACAACAATAACCAGGATGGCCGTACTTTACTTGCTGTATAAGACAGCAAATTACGTAATGCGTTTGACCGGAAATAGAATGCATTCTCTTTGTTATGCTCGCAAAGGTCAAACAAATATGATGCCAAAACATAGAGCAACAATTAAAGGGGCAGTGCTTCTGCGATTAATAATGGACTTTAAGTAATACAGAATAAGGTTTATTTGATGCTAGAATGTATGTTCCGTTCGAAATAACTTGATAAAACTTTACTAACAAACAAAAATAGATTTGTTATTGTATGAGAGTGCGGAAGAAGACTTTGTATACTCACATGCACTGCATTCTCTTCCCTGACATATACTGTTACACCATCCTCTAGTGGCCAAGCGATCCGCAATGTCTTTGGCGGCTCTTAACTCTTCTTTTGCCTTTTGAGTATAGACATACCGTTCGGCCATGTTATGTTGGATAAGAATATATGTAAAAGACTATGCATCGGCATATACACAAGTCACAGTGTTGAAAACATGGGAAGAAGAGGCACAGGAATATGACAAATGAACTATTCCCTTTCTTACACAGTACCCCTGTCTTAATGGAGGATTAATCATGGAGGAATAACTGCTGTGCAGCCTCCTGCTTCTAGCTAGCTAGCTTGCTATTAAAAAACCTATCTGTCACTTGAATACACAAGGCTTGCTTCCGGTGAATGTCTGCATTAAAACTCGGGTCCAGTCTGGATTTCGAGAAAAAACATGGCAGAACAAATGTGGTAAATGAGCTGTAGACTCGCGAAATAGACGCATCAATCAATGTTTGAAAGGATGCTGATACACGAGAAATAATCTCCTGGTGATATACCCAAGGGAAATTGGTTCTATGATGTGCTCCGCAGTGCCTGGAGATGATCCCTGCACTTCGGATCTTTTCTCACTGCTCCGAGAATCTCACTTTAAGTGAAATTGGGGTGACAACATAAATTCACAACCTTCACCAAGCCAACATCATCTCCCAGAGGCTAACCGGTAGCTTCAGGGTACCTCCGTGGACAGGAAATGCAATGATAAAAACCCTCCTTGATATTCCAGCTCTTGAATATTTAATGCTTGAACACATCAGACATGTTTGGGTGAGAAGCATTTGAAGTGTGCCAGCATATTGATTGCAGGTAGCACCATAAACGAAAACACGACTTCTATCTTAATTCAGAGCGAATACTTCCGGCTACTTTGACCTAGTTTTATCCGACGGGGGAAGAAGCACTATGTCCACATTTGGTCATCGCTAATATTGATAACTGTGCATCGCTTCTGATACAGCCATTCAAATTATATAGATAGATATTCCCTGATATTCACTGGCCTTAGTGCAGTTTGTATGGAAACCCGTCAACGAAGAGCTACTGAAACGGGTGAGGGAATAGCGCAGGTTTTGCCAACTCGTTTAATCTTTTAAGCCCACACAAGTCCATATTCCAAGCCAGTTTATGGATCAATGTGTTCCCACACGCGCAAATCACAGCACAAGGACAGTGTTTTCATACAAAATTGAAGCATGCCTTTATGTTAATGGCACAGAGAGGGAAATTATTATATTGTCAAAGTAACAAAATAGAACAGACCTAAAGTATGGCCTCATGATGGCTATCTGAAAAAAGTGACATTAGAACAGATGATGTCCTTTGCCAAATTCTACTGTAACAGTACCTTTCCTAAAACAATGACTATTCAGTATCAATGAATCATTAAACACGGGCCTAGGTCATCATGCTGGGGCTTGTAATAACACAGGCAGTGACGTCTGATATCACACAACCTCTGTTATTGATCTCAAAGTGAACAGAAACGATAGGCTTAAAGGGGAGTAAGCTTATGACAAAATGACCATCATAAATATGAATCAGCCAAATGTTCTACTGTCTTATTGTCATATTCCCATATCAGAACATTCGAATTGTCCCTTGGAATTGAGTATTCATTGTTATTATTTCTTTTCAATTAGTGATGTACAGTGACTGGCATTCTTATGTGTACCAATAGACTTCGTTCGATCGTTGTCAAGCAGCAAAAGTACATCATAGGGCTTTTCCCATAAATAGTAAAAAAAAAAAAAAAAGTAACACCTGTGCAAAATACTTGTAATGATTATGTGTGGAGTTATTCCTGTACAAATAGCGCGTACATCACGCTATCTGTTGCTCCACCATCATTTTAATAGATATACATTTATTGAGATAATGTCATCAATAATATAGACAATGAAGGATAATAGCTGTATGAATAGAAATGACAGACAACGATTTTATGATATTAACTGGATATCATGATTTGTCCAACAAATTGCGAAATCTTCAGAATACTGAAATGTGACGTATTTTAGTAATGATACCCTTACAAAACCATGATTCATTTCCGAGTAGTAATTAGATGAACTATGGGTCAGTTCAGCGAGATTAAAACATGAGGGGAATATTTTTTCCTAGAAAGAGGGCCAGAGGATACTAATAGTAAACGTTCGCTAAGCTTTTAATAACACGTTCTAAAACTTTGTTGAGTAGTACGTGATGCCCCCATAATACAGTTCAACACGGATATCACACAACACTTTGTAGAGAATGACATAACTCATAACGGTACAAGTTTGAAAATTTAGAGAAAGATAACGACACAACTCTAATTGAAACACTTCGCAAATCCAGAGGGGAAATCATTCGTAAAGATTGAGCTTATCAAGTCGAGGAACTTACACTAATCTAGAAAGAAGGAAAAACAGCTACCATCCCGGGAACAATAGATTATACACATTGTATTAGATGTATAAATAATCATCCGAAGCAGTTTCGGTAATGATACTGTATGTCAACACATTTTGCAAGAAACGATAAATATCTTGAAATTAGTATCTTTTCACTCATGTTTAGTTTATGGACAAGTTTTTATTTTTTCATGAAACACCCTGATTTAAGATTTAAAAAGAAATAATATATCAGGTCATGGTATTACATCCACAATTCGTAAGGCAGCATGATACACAAAGGAGAAAACTGATTTGGATGAAGCCATTCCTGGTCATGTTATTGTTAATGATCGATAATTTCATTAATAATTGCATTGGGAGAGATCTTCGTTCGTGTCCTTTGGTAAATAAACAATTTACGACTAATCTCCAAAAGCTCCAACTACAACTGCGTTGGTATTAGCCGTTTTACTTTATTGGTTAATGGTTGTTGTGCGGGAATGATTTGAACTGAAAGCAAAAATTGTATTTTTTGATCGAAGCGCATAAGCAATAATCATGTGAAATGGGTAATGTGTAATCAGGTACAAATATTTTTACAATTAACGCCAAAGAAGTAGTTTCGAACTCATACATCTTTATTTTGTTCGAGCAAGGGAGAGAGTAGATCGTATAGATATGGATCTCTTGATTTCAGTTCGAGGCCAGATCGAGGGACCCTCTTCGAAAGTAAGATATGCAGGCCTCCAAGGTCTGGGAAAACTCAGGAAATGCAGAGAGTCAAGTTGATTTATTCCTATAATATAAAAGGGGGTCTGCTAGCTATTTATAAGGACCGCTATTTATAAAAGACTGCTATACATTATTTTAATGACCTCTTCGACGAGCAAATACATATGACAAATTGAAATAAATGTATTGCCCGAAAAAAGCACCTATGTTAGCATTCTGAGGTTTTACGTAACCTAATGATGGTCTCGCGGACCTAACTAACATTTCTTTTATCGAGGTAGACCTTGGGCTATTAGTCTTCCGAGATGCCCCAAGAAATATAATCCATTAAAATTTTAGTTAATTTCTGCCCTCGTTAAAAATCCACCATATCCACCATAATTTATTACGATTATTACAATAATTATTAATGATGATAATGATGAAAATAATAATATTCATATTATAATGATGACAATAATAATATTAATAATAATAGTACTATCTGTTTTTTTTTCAAGCGCTTTACCATAAACTGCAAAGCGCTAACAGTATTTTAACTGGATTCAATTGTTCTTCTGCACATTAAAGTGCAGATTCTCCACTTGGTGGTGAGCATTTCGGATTTTTAAGGGCTTTTTCTGCACCTGCTAATCCAACCTACCGGGTACTCATCCAACACCTGGATGGAGAGGAGCAATGTAGATAAAATGCCTTGCTCCATGACATAACTGCCGTGCATTTTTTTATATGGGAAATAGGTAAATGCAACTTTGTAGGCATATGCACACTATAAACACAGGGGCGTAAATCCGGGGGGGGGGGATGGGTGGCTGCATCCCCCTGGCTTGAAGTAGGGGGGATGGCCTGAACAAACATCCCCCTGATATTAAAAAAAAGAGAGAAAAAAAAAGGAAGAAGAAGAAGAAGAAAAAAAAGGTGATCGTTTCAATTTCAGCATAATGCATGAGAAATGAGTTATTTGTTTATGTATGTATAACTGTATAGCTGTATAACTGTAACTGTATAGCCTACACGTATACAGTATGTCACGATCATTATTAAGAGTAGTTGCGCGACGTGCGCGAACAAGCACTTCATAAACTTCAGAATGATTTTTCATTATTTTGCAAGGTATTATTATAGCCCAGACGTAAAGTGCGCCAGCGCGCGAGCGCTTAAAAAGTGCAATCATGTACAGTAGATGCCCCCCCCCCCCACGCAATGTTATTTAGGGTACGCGGATGCTCGTTCCCTCCCTTTGAAAGCACCCCCCCTATCTCAGGGCTGCCAACATTTCTGAATCCCCCTTTCGCCGGCTTTTCGCTGGCTTTTCCTGCCTTGGAGACCCCCCCCCCCCAAAAAAAAAAAAAAAAAAAAAAAAAAAAAAAATCCGGAACACTGCTAAATGTACCACCCCCTCCCCCCCCCCAATTTCAGGTGAGCTCTAGTCGATCGAGGGTGACTGGGGGCCAATGTTTTTACTTTTCAAAATGAAATAATCCTGAATGAGCTTTCAAAGCTAGCAGGAATTTCAGGAATTTGATCCCGGGATTTGATCAATTTTTCTATGATATTCAAGATATTTTATAACCCCCTTTTTACATTTCTCAGGAGTCCAAAGAGAGAGAGAGAGAGAAAAAAAACCACCCCCTTTTAAAGAAATCTCCGGGTGAAAAGTCAAATACCCCCCCTTTTTTTTTTACAATTCTCGGGCCGGATTTTGTCGCGCGAAAAAGTACCCCTTTCCTGGAGATTTTAGGAACGCGCATGCCTGGCGTGTTCAAGACTTACAGTGGTCGTTTGTCTCTTCAATTATTTCAAGGTAAGCCTGTACGCATTCTTATTGTTTTTATATTTGAGAAAGGATTTGGCTGAAGAAATTAAAGAATTTATTAGATTTAATTAATAAACACAGTACATGTATCATTATATGAATTCCAGAAACATTTGTTATGAGGTGTGAAAACTGTTAATGCATCTGATTGAGAGTGATAAATAATACGGTAACTGTTGCATTGCCCAAGTCCTACTCGGTGGTTGTCATTTGTTCACACCTAAAACTTAAGGGACGAGGGTATGATTTTTAAGGGCTGCAATGCTTGTGATGTTTGTGTAGGTCTATGAATGAATAAATTTGTTGGTTATATTGAATGAATAAAATTCAGATAAATAGGGCTTAATAAGAGTCGAAAACGTTGCAACGAATTGTCTTCTTTCTATAATAATTATATCAAACGTCTAAGCTTTTCGCGCTTTGCGCGGGAAGGGGAAACTGAATTCAGACGAGAATTAAGAGTCGAGAACAGTACAACCAATCGTCTGCTTTCTCTAATAATTTAAGGAACGTCAAGGCTTTCGCGCTTCGCGCGAGAGGGGGAAACTGAATTCAGATATATAGGGCTTATTAAGAGTCGAAAACGGAACAACGAATCGTCTGCTTTCTCTAATAATTTAATGAAACGTCAAAACTTCCGCGCTTTGCGCGGGAGGGGTAAACCGAATTCAGACAAAGATTAAGAGTCGAGCACGGTTCAACGAATTGTCTACTTTCTCTAATAATTTAATGAAACGCCAAAAATTCCGCGCGGGAGGGGGGGGGCCGGGGGGGGGCGGGAAACTGAATTCAGACAAGGATTAACAGTCGAGAACGGTACAGCAAATCGTCTTCTTTTTATAATAATTTAATGAAACGCCAAAGCTTTCGCGCTTCGCGCGGGGGGGGGGGGGGGGAGGAAATTCATTCAGACAAGGGTTAACAGTCGAGAACT